GGTTCAATCCTCAGCACCACATACCAACAAAGATGTTGTGTCCACCGAGAACTAAAAAATAAATATTAAAAATTCTCTCTCTCTCTCAAAAAAAAAAAAAAAAAAAGAATGGAACTAAACTGCCCTCTCTGCTGGGTCTCCAGCTTACCCACTCACCCTGCAGACCCCGGGACCTGCCAGATGCCATAATCACCTGAGCTGTGAGCCCAATCCTTATAACAAATCTCTCTCTCTCTCTCTCTCTTTCTCTACACACACACACACACACACCCTATTTGTTTCTAGACAATACTTTCTAAAATCTTTCTGAAAAAAACTGCATTTTGAAAAATGTTAAAGATACAAAAATTGAAAGAATAAACAGTGAAAACCTCTGTACCTTTCACCTAGATTTGCCAGTTGACAACATTTTGCTACATTTGCTTTTGCTGCCACTGTGTGTAAACATGAACTTTTTTTTTGGAATCACTTCAAAAAATAAGTTACAGACTTCATGACATTTTACCTCTAAGCATTTCAGCCTATGTGTCCTAAGAACAAAGACATTCTCATATATAACTGCAATGCATTGTATAATACATGGTCATACCCAAGGAATTCAATATTGATGAAGTAATACCTAAGATATAATCCTTTTTTTTACCCTGCCAACTGAGCTATATCCCCATCCCCAAGATATGATCCTCATTAAAATCTCTTCAATTATCCACTGGATGACCCTTATAACCTTAAAACAAAACAAAACAAAACAAAAACAGTATAAACCTGGCACAGTGTCACTGCCTGTAATCCCAGATACTCAGGAGGCTGAGGCAGGAGGATTTGCAAGTTCAAGACCAGCCTTAGCAATTTATCGAGATGCCAAGCAAATCACAAGAGTCTGTCTCAAAATAAAAAATGTTTAAAAAGGACTTTCATACGTACCATAGTGTTAAAGTGACTCTGGGTTCCATTCCCAGTACCAAAAAAAATAAAAAATAAAAAAAATTATCAAGGGCTGGAGGTGTGGCTCAGTGGTAGAGTGCTTGCTACCATGTGTGAGGTATGGGATTTGAAGTCTATTGACAACTAAAAATATATTTAAAAATATAAATAAAGCCAGTTATTCATTCATTAAAAACAAACAAACAAACAAACAAAMAAAMAAAAAAAAMCAGTATCAAGTCTTTTTTTCCCTTGGAACCATTTCTCAGATTTTCCTTGGCTTTGTGACCTTGACATGTCTGAAGACCACAGTTCCCCTGAGATGTTTCTAAGGCTGCTCTCACTTCGCATGTTCTCCTGATCCCTGTCCTGGGCTGTACATCCTTGGTGGCATTGTCCCATCAGCAGCGTGGAGTTCTGCCCTGCATTCTTGCGGGTGGAGCATGACTCATTCCTGGAGGTGTTATCCTTTCTCATTTGATGAAGCTGGACTCTGTCAACCTTCCAACCAAGTCTTAGCTCTTTTTTTCTCTTAAAGTTAAAAGATGTATTTTGTGGGTGAGAATTTTGGGATTATGCAGATATCCCATTTCTCATAAATAACAAATTTATTTATATCAGTATGGATTCTAGTTCAACAAAATCTGTTAGTATCATTGCTCTCGACTGAATAATTGTGTTCCAGAACCCATATGTCAAAGCCCCAGCTCTTAGCGTGATGGTTATCTGTAGATGGAACCCTTGGGAGGTGATTAGGGTTAGATGAGGTCATGAGATGGGGCATTCGGGGTGGAATTAATACCTTTATAGGACAAGGAAGGGAGAAGGAGCAGCTCTTTCTCTGCAGGAGCACAGAGGAAAAGTCAGGTATGGAGACAGTGAAAAGGCAGATTTTACAATTTTCTAGCACATTGATCTTAGACTTGAGTCTCCAAAACTGTGGTTGTCAAACCACCTATTCTGTGGCCCTCTGTGATGGCAGCCTGTACTGATGAGACAATCGTGATCACTCATTACTCACGAGCTGCAGGAGTCCAACCAAGATGTCTCCTGTTATCCTCATTATTCCTTATTTCCTGGTTTTCTGATAAGATATTCCAGTCTCGTACTTTTCATGGCCCAGGCCTAGAATCAGACCTTTTCCTTTGACAGCCTTGTTTCCTTTTTGGAACACAGTATTTAGAAGCCAAGATGAGGGTGCTAGGTGTGCACATCACTGCCCCAGCCTGGTGAACACTCACATTTATAACTATATTGACCTCTAGCTGGGTACAGTGGCGCACGCCTGTAATCACAGCTTGGGAAGCTGAGGCAGGAGGATTTCGAGTTCAAAGCTAGCCTCAGCAATTTAGGGAGGTGCTAAGTAACTCTGCAAGACCCTGTCTCTAAATAAAATATGAAAAAGGGCTGGGGATGTGGCTCAGTGGTTAAGCACCCCGGTTCAATCCCTGTAACCAGAACAAACAAACAAACAAAAAACCCCAACTCTCTGGTGTCTAATGTCTCTTCCTCTTTTTAAAATTTTTTTTAAGTTGTTGATGGACCTTTATTTAGTTATTTATTTATTTATATGCAGTGCTGAGAATCAAACCCAGTGCCTCACATATGCTAGGCAAGTGCTCTTCCACTGAGCCACACACCCAGCCCTCTTCCTCTTCTTATAAGGACACCCGTCCATTGAATTAGTTCCTGTCCTAATGACCTCAATTGGCCTTAATATCTCCTTCAAGGCCCTAACACTCAGACTGRGGATTAGGTTTTGCCATAGTCCAAACACCTGTCCTACCCTTCACCACCCCTCCAGCCAAGACTCATATATTAAAACCTGATCCCCAGGGCTGAGGTTGTGGCTCAGTGGCAGAGCACTTGCCTAGCATGTGGGAGGCACTGGGTTCGATTCTCAGCACCGAGTATCAATAAATAAAAAATAAAAAGGTCCATTGACAACTTAAAAAAAAAAAACAAAAAAACTCTGATCCTCAGTGTGATTGTTTTAGGAATGAGGACATTGGGAGGTGATTAGGTCATGAAGATGGAACCCTCACAAATGACAGTGCCCTAGTCAGGGACCCTGGAGAGCTATCTTGCCCTGGCACTGTGTGAAGTCATTGAGAGAAGGTCTCATGGGGAACCAGACTACGGGCCCTCCCCAGGCATCCAATCTGCTGGCACCTTGTACTTGGGCTTCCAGCCCCCAGAACAGTAAGAATTAAATTTCTGTTGTGTGTAAGCCACCCAGTGTATGGCATTTGGTGTGCGCAGCCCTGCCAACTAGGGCTTTAACAGGTGAGTTTGAACGTTCTAACAGACCGCCCACACTTATCCCCCACCCCCTGCACATCAGCGTGCCACCAGCAGGGATCTCCTTGCAAGCTCACTGTGGAGTCCTGAGTGGAGGGAAGGTGCTCCAGGAAGCTCACATGGAGTGCCTCATTCCCCCTCTCCCCACCGGCTCAGACCGTGGGCAGGGAAAGCCAATCAGTGGGGTCAGGTACAAACCATTTATTTTTCTATAAAGAGCAAAGTACAAAGAGGCAGGGGAGGGCAGCTGGGCCCGAAGGAGCAGCAGTGGGCGGGCCCCAGGCCCTGGCTATGGCTGAGGAGGCCTGTGGCTGCTCCAGGAGCAAACCTGGGCCTTCAGTCTGATGGTGGAGGGCAACGGGAGTTGTGGGGGGCTGCTGCTGCTGCAAGTCATACAAAGCCAGGCTTCATGGATGAGCGGCGGCAGTTGGGGCAGCTCCGGGTCCCATTGTTSTGCAGGCATCTGAGGAGGCAAAGGGCTCTGTCCACTCACCCCCGACCTGTCGTTCCACTCCAGGTCCTAGGCCCTGTCTCCTCCCCGCCTTCCTGCTGCAGGGCTGGGAGGTATCCCTGCGGCCATTTGGCAGCAGAGGAAGGAAGGAAAGAAAGTCCTGGTCCCCAGGCTTCTGCTCTGCCCCAGGAGCCTTCAAGGCAGAGGGCGTGGGCAGCGTCAAGACTGGGATGGAGCTGGTATCGGCCATGATGCGGAGGCAGGGCTGGCCTCCTTCTCTGATCCGATGACCTTTAAGAGGCCTCTCACTTCCCTTTGGGATAACTGGAAAACTTATCCTTACCCCTTCGAATAACTTTGGGATAAGGATAATGACAATGGCTGCCACGCAGGGCTGCTGGGAGGATTCAGGGAGTCAAATGGGGTGTTCTTAGAACACACCTGAGCCCCAGAAAGCACCAGGCCAGTATCTGCTGTATTATTAGTGTGACGCAGTCAGTGGGGCCCTTGTCTGGCCACCGTGCAGGCGCCCTCACCTGAGGTGGAAAATGTGGGAGCAGGGCAGGGCCTGCAGCCGGCTGTTCTTCTCGCCTATGGACTCCCCGCACAGGCCGCAGTAGAGCTCCGTCTCCTCCACGCACTCGTGGAAGCGCACAACGTGGGCTCGCAGCTCCCGCTGCAGCCCCTTGCTGCGGCAGATGCCCTCGCTCAGGCAGTGCAGCTTGAGCTGGCTCAGCTGGGGCAGGAGAACAGAGTGGGGACGGAGACCAAAGTCACATACTGGTGAGGATCAGTCCCAGCCGTTTCCCTGCTCTGCTGACGGACCTAGGAAAAATGTCCTGCTCTCTCTGAACCTGTTTCCCTTGGAGCAGAATGAAGGAGTGGGTGAGGTCACAGTCTTCACGCCTAGAGCTCCCTGGGACTCCATGTTTTGAACAACTTTATTGACCAAATCCACTGTACTGTCTCCCTAATGATTTGCTTTCCTTTTTTTTTTTTTTTTTTTGTAATATACACATCTCATCAGCATTTCTGATTTTAAAAGAAAAGAAAAAAAAAAAAGAAGGATCTCTGATCAGCCTGGTAGCTGGATAAACCTGAGTGGGCATCATCTAGCCCAAAGCAAATACATGTGACATTTTAGTTGGACTGTGCACCTGATCCCAGAGAAATGCACATTTGCTGATTGACCCTGAGAAATGCTGAGCCTGTTTCCAATATTTCAAGGCCTGGATATGATTATAAATTTGGAGAGGCTGCATTATGCTATGGAGGGAACATGGGTCCTGGTATTAAGATAGACCAGTTAGAAGGTGAGAGACCTTGAGCCTGAGCCTCACTTTCCTCATCTCTCCAAGGAGGCCCCTGTGCCCACCTCCCAGGAAGATAGAGAACTGGGGCTGGGGCTGGGGCTGGGGCTCAGCGGTAGAAGCACTCTCCTAGCATGTGTGAGGCCCTGGGTTTGATCCTCAGTACCACATTAGGATAAATAAATAAAGGCACTGTGTCCAACTACAACTAAAAAAAATATGAAAAAAGAGAACCAGAACCAATACCTACAAGGACCTGGGTGTGCCCAGCTCTTAGGGAGTGGAGGCCACCTCAGGAGTTGCAATGAATGTCAAAAAGGGTCTAAGGCATCTGCCACCCTCCAAGTAATGCAACTCCTGCTCCTCCCCCAGAAGTGACATCTGGGTAGGAAGGAGACAGGAGGCTGGGGACCTCCACAGGCAGCTCAAGAGGATCAGCAAGGGCTCAGGGCACCAGCAGGCTCAGGGGCCTTCCCTCAGACCCATGCTCCCCACCACTTGGCTGCTGACCATAGACTAGGAGACAGACGCAGGTCTGACCTTGTTGCCCACCTCCTCAGCCAGGTCCTGGGCTCTCTCGATGGCGTCCAGAGCCTGAAAGGTGAGCAGAGGTCAGGCCTGCAGGCAGAGTGTCTGACAGAGGCCTTGGCCCACAGCAAAGAAAGGGGTGGGGAGGGTGGGCCTGCAGAGACCAGCAGGGCTAGGGCCAGGCTCCTGTGTGTGAAGGTAGTGGGAAGGGACATGCACGGCTGCCAGGGCTGTGTCAGGACTGTGTGGCGAGTCACCTCCTGCCTCTTTGTGCAAATATGGAACAGGTAGAAAATGCTTCACAGGGTGCTATGGGAGCATGGAGGCTGTTACGCTACCCCAGGTCCAAACCCCAGCCCTGTCCCTTTATTAACTGTGGGTCCCTGGGCAAGTCATGGGCCTTCTTAGAGCTTGGAAAACAACTGGCCTCAGGGAAACAGGATGAGGCTGGTGTTAGACACAGGGGCAGACAGTGCCTTGTCAGGCACTAGACCTCGGCCTGTCAGCTGACTGAGTGGCTCCAAGCAGGATGCGCTGGGGAATGCTGGGGGCGTATAAAAAGGCCTGACCTCACCTTGTCCAGCGCCTTCCTGGCCACCCAGCACTTGGCCACACCCAGTAGCACTTGCACCTGCCCCAGGCGGTTTCCAATTTCAGTCATGATGCTCATGGCAGAGTCGTACCTGGGGAAGGCTGTCTGCAGAGCCAGGTGGGAGGGGGCGTCAGGCTGGGCCAGGCCTGAGACCCCCTGGGCCCCCAGCCCAGTATCCTCACCTCCAGGTCCCCTCGGCTTCGGTGGATGTCAGCGAAGCAGAGTAGGCAGAGCGCCTGCAGCGGCCGGTCCCCATGCTGCAGAGCGATCTTCATGGATTCCTGAGGGAGTGGGTGGCTCAGGTCTGTTCATCTGACCCCACCACTGGGGCACCCTCCACCCGGAGGCCCCTTGAAGGGACAACCCAAGGATCATCAGTATCCTCAGAGCCTAATAGACCTATCATGGTGCTGAGGCTTCCTGCATCGAAACGCGGAGGCCACTTTACCCAGCGAGGCAGCTGTCAGTTGACAGGTGGAAACAGGCTCAGAGAAGTGGCCTAAGACACCCAGCTAGTAAGTGGCAAAGCTGAGATCTGAGCCCAACAGAGAGGAAACTTCAGAGAACACACTCCTCTGAGAATGAGGCCTGGACAGATTGGGGGTAAGAAACACATCCTTGAGGGGCTCCGTAGAGAGCTGGGCCATGGGCAAGCCTCGAGGGCCTCCACGGGCTGATCTGGAAGCAGGAGGTCTTTGCACCTCAACCCTCAGACCCTGGTCCACACCACCACCTGGCCACTTCCCCGCTGCCCCACCTCACAACACTCCATGGCACTGCCCAGGTGGCCCAGCAGGCGGTAGGCCACGGCCATGTGATACTGGCTCATGGCCCGGTACTTGAGGCTCCAGCCTTTGCCATAGTCGTTGACAAGCTCCGCGGCCTTGCAGGGGAAGAACAGGGCTTTCTCGTAGTCCTGCAGGGACAAAGAATGAGAGGGGGTCGCACTGAGTGGCAGGCAGGAACTGCTCCCAGCAGAGGGCTCCAGGGCTGGCTTCTCTGGCTGCCAAGGGTCTCAGTGTTCATTCATTCATTTACTCCGGCTCCAGGGGAAGGGGGATGCAGGTAGAGGAAGGCCAGTGCAAAGTGTGGGCTCCAGGAGTAGAGGGATTCACTGGGATTGTTGCTGCATCCCAAGAGCCTAGCACTGTTCTTGGACTTAGTAGATGCTCAATAAATATTTGTTCAATGAATGAATGAAAAGATAAGGAAACAGTTGGCTCTTCTTTGCACCCAGTCCCCAAAGCCTCCTCAGCTTCACAGCCACACAGGACAAGGGATACTAGAGCCCCCATCTAGAGTCTGCCTGCTGGTGCTCAGCAGCAGCTGTTCCCTGAGGGCTCAATGACAGATTTCCAGGACCACTGGCTCAAAAGAACATTGGAACAGACTTGGTGAGGCAATGAGATAATTTTCTCACATCGTCTCCTCGAACCTCCAAAGGCCTTTTCTCCTTCTCTGTATCAGCTGGCAACCTGCCTCCTGGCCATTAGAAAAAGGGAGGATCACAGGAGTCCCCTTCCCTACCACCTGGTCCCACTCTGCCTCCATTCTGTCCTTGCTCCAAACGCCAGAACATCCCCGACCCCAGTGTCTGCATCACTGAGTTCTTCTACTGAGTCATCCTCGACAGTGTGCAACTTCTTACTTCATTTAAAAACTAAAGCCAGGTGTGGTATAATCCAAGTGGCTCCAGAGGCTGACACAGGAGGATTGCAAGTTCGAGGCCAGCCTCAGCAACCTAACAAGGCCCTCAGGCCCTAAGCAACTCAGTGAGACTCTGTCTTAAATGAAAAATAAAAAGGGCTGGGGATGTGGCTCAGTGGTTAAGCACCCCTGAGTTCAATTCCCAGTACAAAAAAAYATAAAAATGGAAAATGGAAATAAATGATTCAGACTGTATAATATTTATTTAGTTTTACTTTTTCTTTCTTTCTTTCTTTTTCTTTCTTTATTGTGTGTGTGTGTGTGTGTGTGTGTGTGTGTGTGTGTGTGTGTGATACTACAGACTGAATCCAGGGGTGTTCTACCACTGAGCTACATCCTCAGCTCTTTTTATTTATTTATCTTTGAGACAGGGTCTCACTAAGTTGTCCAGGCTGGTCTCGAACTTGTGATATTCCTGCCTCAGTCTTCCAAATAGCTGGCATTATATGTATAAACCACCTTGCCTGAACATCATATTAATATAACCATCTTTCTTTCTTTCTGTTTTTGGTGCTGAAACCCAGGATAGAACCAATATAACCATACTTTGAAAGACCTTAAAACAAAAGTACCAGGACAGTTTATCCATAGTGGGACAATATTTATAAAGACAAAGAAGAGCCAGGTTCAGTGGCACACACCTGTAATCCCAGTGACTTGGGAGGCTGAGGCAGGAGGATCTCACTTGTTCAAGGCCAGCCTCAGCAACTTACCAAGACCCTATCTCAAAACAAACAAACAAACAAACAAACAAACAAACAAATAATAAAGGGGTGGGGATATAGCTCAGAGGTAAAATGCCCCTAATTCAGTCCCCAGTTTCCTCCCCGCCCAAACAAAAACAAAAACAAAAACAAAAGAGGGGCTGGGGTCCTGGCTCATCCTCATCGGTAGAGCGCTCGCCTAGCGTGTGCGAGGCCCTGGGTTCAATCTTCAACACCACATAAAAGTAAATAAATAAAGGTATTGTGTTCAACTACAACTAAAAAAAAAAAAACCCCAAAACAAACAAACAAAAAAACAGAGCGAGAGAGACACTCTCCAAGGCGGTTAGTTGATCGGTTTCTTCAGCAAGTCATGGAAAATAAAGAGGAAGGGAAGGAATTTTCTACTGAGAGAGGCATGAAAGACACAATAAGCCACTCTGATGTGTGGCTTTTGTTTGTGTTCCAATTTAAAYAACTGAGGAGGGTGAGGATATATTTTTAGGATAAATAGAGAAATTTAAATATCGACTGGGCATTAGATGCTCTTCAGAGATTACTATTAATTCTGGAGTGTGTGATAATAGTATTGTGATTACATTAGAAAGTGTCCCTATGAAACAAAATGGCTTCTAAAATTTTAAGGTTGCATCTGAACTACTTTGACGCAAAAAATGTCATCACTACAATTTTCGGTCACAACACTTTAGGTTAAAATGTGTACAGCCAACATGGCAAAAATAGAAATAATTTTTTCACCTAAGTAGTGGGCGCATACAAGACATCATTATATTATTGCTTTCACATAGGGTTGCTTTTAAAAACCTCTATCCCTCCCCAGTCCTATCTCATTTCACTGACTGGCATCTAGTTCCTGAAAACAGTCTAGGTGGCTGTTCTTGATGCCCCTCATTTCCTTCTCCCCACTCCTCATCCAGCTGCATCGATATAGTCAGTTACCCCCAGATTTACTGAGTTTCTACTATGTGCCAGGCACCCAAATCCCTGATGGCCCACGTAGCCGGGTTGCCGGGAGGGTTATGTTGAGAAGCTGCAGTCACTGACCCTCAGCTTCCCTCACCTGTGGTCCCCTAGCCATGTGGTCCCTACCCTCCCGCCCAGGGCAGGGCTTTGCCTGGAGAACTTTCCTCCAGATTTCTGCATAGCTCACACTCTCATCTACTTCATATCACCAGACGTCACTCCCTGAGGCCTTCTGACCACTGTATTTGAAATTGTGTTCCCCACCCCCTTGCTATCACCTCCTTGCCCTTTATTTTCTCCTAAGTACTTTCTAACATGCCATCCAGTTGACTTGCCGATTATGTTGACAGTCCTTTTCCCCAAGCCAGAAGGCAAGCTTCATGAGGAACCTTGCTGTTATTTCCACTGCCACAGAGAAACAGTTCAACAGTGTCTGGGATATAGTAGATGCTCAACAAATACCTGACGGACCAATCTTTACATCCCTGCTGTTGAGCTCTGTCTCCCTAGTTGATGGACATATGTCTTGGGGTTCAGAGAGTGGTGACTTGCCCAGGATCACACAGCAAATCTGTGGTAGTGCAGGCTCATGGGCTGTCCTCCCACAGGACCTTTCACTACCCCAGGAAGTCAGTCACGGTGTGAATCCTGGCTCTGCCCTTCTTGGCTCAGTGTTTTCCAACTTCCTTTCACCTCATCCCTACCTAAAAGGAGGGCTGGACAAGGCAGTGCAGCCAGGCATGTGGCTCATGGGAGGCTTTCAGGGAGTCCCCGTTACCCTCCCCCTGGGGCCCAGGCCCACCTTGACCTGGGCGTAGAAGCTGCCCAGGCTGCAGCAGACGCGGCACTCGAGCATGGTATCATCGTTGTTGTGGGCGTAGCGCAGGGCCTTCTCGAAACTCTCCAGGGCTTTCTGGAAGAGGCTGAGGCCCAGGAAGGCATTGCCCATGCTCAGGCTGACCTGGCCCCCCAGCTGGGCGGCTGCCCTGGTGCCAGGCAGACCGAGGCAGGTCTTGCAGTAGGAGATGGTCTTGTGAAACTCGCATAGCTTCTCATTGCTGCGCGCCAGGTTCAGGTAGCTCTCCAGGAGGAAGTCGGCATCCTCCAGTTCCCGGGCAGTGTCGATCTGGACCACGGCAAACTGCCCACCGGGGTGGCAGGCAAATAACATACCTTCAGACCTGCAGACTCCACACCCAGCCCTGGCCTTACAGCCAAAGCAACAGACCCCTGGCTCCCACCCATCAGCCTTGGACTCAATCTTGGGTCCCAGCAACAGCCTAGTAGCTTCAGCTCTTCAGTTCACTCATGGCCTTCAGCTTTGCACCCCCCGCCTAGGTCTGAAGTCTCTACTGACCACCAGCCCTCGCCTCAAACCCAGAGCCCACAGCCCCAGGCACACACTCTGTACCCCAACAGCAGACTGAAACCCAGCAGCCAAGGTCTGGGGGACCCTGAGGACCTCAGACTCAAGGATTAGAAAACCGAAGTTCAAGGCCACAGGCCCACATCTGAGTCTCAGGGTCTCAGACGTGGATCTCAAGCCTCAGGTTCCAGCCACTTGCGTGTGAGACACACAGGAGCCTAAGGAGGCTGCGAGGGGCCCTGGTAGCCATCCAGCCCTGGCCCCAGCCAGCCTACACCTCCCCGGGAGGGTATGCCCACCTTCAGCATCTCTTTGTAGCGGCCCATCTCCGAGTGGGCTGTGACCAGGCAGCCCAACACACGGAAGCGCCCCACGAGGTCAGAGCTCTTCTCCAGGACCTTCATCCACACCTGCAGCGCCTTTTCAGTCTGGTTGGACTGGTACAGTTGCAGCCCCTTCTCAATCTGCTGCTTTGTCTGGTCCTGCCCCATTTTCCTCAAAGCCCTGAGGCTCACGGGGGGACCCTGGTGGCTCTCTGTGCCTCTAGGCCCTCATGGCATAGGACCCACAGTGCCGGTTGCCCACTGAGCCCCGGGAAGGAAAGCAGAGTCGGGCAGGAGCTGAACAGGGCCTGGATGGAGAGCGGGCGCCACCCTGGTAACAAAGCTGGTTCGGCCCCTGTCTGCAGCTGTCCCTGCCAGTTGGGGCCACGTGGCCTCTGAGGAATGTCAGCAGCAAGGTCACGCGGGCCTCTGCTGCACCCACCCCAAGCTGGAAGGCGGCTTCCCCATTGATAGTCACCCTGCCACCTGGGCACCCCCTTGGGCATCTTCAGCACCTCTAATACTGACCCTGACCCTTCTGACAGGGCAGGCCCTCCCTGAAGCCTTGCCAAGGAGAAGCCACTGAGGGGTTAGGCAGGAGGGGCTGCCGGTGGGGAGGAAACAGGGACAAGGCTGGACACACAGGCATCAGGGAGGCTGGGGCAAGTGTCCTGCCTGCTTCCCCATCACACTGTAACCCCCAGCCCCTCTCCTGGTGTTGTTCCTGATTGACTGGGCACTGTGGTCACTTACCCTGCACATGTCCAYACCACTCCCAACATCGAGCCAGTGCTAGAGGCCTACATTCTAGCCTGATCTCACTCACAGTAGGACCCTAGCCAAGTCATTCATCTCTCCAGGCCTCGGTTATGTCAACTACAAGGTAAGGATAATAGCTGGGCAGGTGGTGCACGCCTGTAATCCCAGCAACTTGGGACGCTGAGGCAGAAGGCGAGCCTCGGCAACTTAGCCAGATCYTGTTTCAAAATTAAAAATGTAGCTCAGTGGAAGAGTGCCCCAGGGTTCAACCCCCCCCCCCCCAGTAAATGTAAACAGGATACTAAACCTGAATTCACGGGCAGTGACAAGGCAATGATGTGGCCAAGCTGGTAGCCTTGGGATCCTGCTGCTTTCTGTGCTAGCCATGTGGACAGTGTGACTCTGGGCAAGTTACCTGGCTCTGTGAAGGAAGAGTGCCAGCAGACAGCTTATGGGATCATTAGAACTAAATGATGTACTAGTTGACAAGGATTTAGCACCTGGCACACAGGCCACTTTGAGGTTTGAAAAGTATCCCAATTCCAGTCCCATTCTCTTGAATGGGTCCCTAAAAGTGAGCTTTAATGCCAGGTAATATGGAGAAAGGTGAGGTCTTAGGGAGGGACAGACATTTGAAGCACTAATGCTCTGGAGTTGAAAGAGGAATGCCAGGTGGTAGGGCCTCTGCTTACCTCCCACTTTCTTTCCYCTGTTCCCAGGCTTCTTCCTGCCCCAGGGGAAGCTTGTTTGTTTTCAGAGTGGATAATTCCATGGTTTTTTAGTGTATCCACAAAGTTGTGCCACAAATTTCAGAACACTGTCATCATCCCCAGAAGATGACCTGTGTCTGGTGGCAGTTACTCTCATCCCATTGGCTATGGTTGAGTTGTGCCTCCACCCCAATTCATCTGAAGTCCTAACCTCCAGAATCGCAGAATGTGACTATACTTGGAAATCGAAAGGTGAGTCATTAGGGTGGGCCTGAATCCAGTGTAACTGGTGTCCTTATAAGAAGAGATTAGGACCCAGACACAAAGAGAAGACCATGTGAACATGAAGGTAGAAGATGGCAATGTCCAAGCCCAGGAGAGGCCTCAGGAGAAACCACCGCTGCCGACACCTTGAACTTCAGCTTCTGCAACTGTGAGAAGACTTTTCTGTTGTTTAAGTCACTCAGTGTTCATGGATCTTTTACTCACCAAAATGTTTCCAAGGGTCATGTATGTTTTATGTATCGATACTTCACTTCTTTTTATTCACTTACTTACTTATTTATTTAGTTGTATATGGACTCAATGCCTTTATTTGTTTTTATGTGATGCTAGGATTGAACCCAGTGCCTCACACTTGCGAGGCAAGCGCTCTACCACTGAGCTAGTTAATATTCATTGTATGGATAGATCACATTTTATTTATCACTGTGTCAGCTGATAGGTATTTGGGTTATTTCACTTTTTGGGCCATTATGAATAGTCATGAATAATGATGTCATAAGCATCCATGCACAAATTTGTGTGTGGACATGTTTTTATTTCTCTTGGATATATGCTTAGAAGGGGAATTTCTGGGTCATATGGTAACTGTACAATGACCTTTTTGAAGATTGCTGAACCGTACCTCTTGATTCCCTTCATCCTCCATACATATGCTCTAGTGAGAGTCCTACTTAAAATTAATCAGCTTAGGRGCTGGGGATGTGGCTCAAGTGGTAGCACGCTTGCCTGGCATGCGTGTGGCCCGGGTTCGATCCTCAGCACCACATACCAACAAAGATGTTGTGTCCGCCGAGAACTAATAAATAAATATTAAAAAAAAATTAATCAGCTTATTATTCTCACAGAATTCTACTTCATTCTTATAAAATTATCTCTAGTTATATATTCATTAGTAAAGTTATTTGCTTAATGTCTTTTTTCCCACTCAAATGCAGGGCAGGAACTTAGTGTCTCATTTACCCCCAGAGCAAGGCATGTACATAGTGGCCACTCAATAAATACGCTGAATGAATGAATGAGGGAGAAGGGAAGGAAGCACTGTTTTAAGTTTGAAAGTGGAAGCAAATGCTGCAGGCTTAGCAGTGAATCTGCCATGGCCTGCACCACCTCAGGGAAACTGAGGAAAACAGATTCAGAGGGGTAATTTGGGAGCCAGAAGTGAATGGCTCAAGGTTCAATGGTCCAGAGTCCCTATACAAGCAGAAGTAGAAGGGACATCAGAGCAGGCTCATGGTCAGGTGGCTAGCCTGGTCTCCGGAACTCACCATGGGGAAAGTGCTCTTAGGCCTGGGCCACTGGAAGCTGAGAAAGAAATGGGAGGTTCAGAGGCCAGTCGGGAGCTGCTGGTGGCAAGAGAGCTCCTGAACCTTCCTCTCATCTTAGTGAGCCCACAGCAAAGTGCTGCAGAGCCAGTAGATTCCCTCCACTCAGCAGTCCAGGCACAAGTCTGGCAGGAAGGAGAGGATGGGCTGCCAGTACTGTCCTTCTAGGTACCTGGGGAACTCTAGTGACAGGATAAAGGCTTCCCCTGCCCCTGACTTGCATGATAGGGACTGCCACACCTGCTTGTTCTAGATAGAATACCTTGTTTCCTTCAGGAATTTTACTTCTGAGTAATTTTCCCAGAATTCAGCTAAGGTCTAGTTGGATGGAGATCATGTTCCTTTGGGGGGGGGGGGGGGGGGGTGCTGTGGTTTATCTCTGTCACTGAACAGACACAGGCAGAGTGAGAGGAGACCAAGAAAAGAAATCCAACTACATGTTCTGAGTTAAGCATTCCTTTCACTTTACAGATAACCCGAGTCAGAGAGTGAAAGAACACACTGCAATCTAGAGACACAGCTGGTACTAGAACCGKAGTAACGTGGCTTTAGGAGTCCCACTCCTAACCAGGATACTGTTTCTTAGAGGAAAATGGAGGAGGAGAAAAGTGGGGAACTGGACACATTTTGAGAATTTATAKCGATGTCTGCCTGACACACAATAAAGTCACTGGGAACATTAGGCAAAATTGTGGCCTGGGGGCAGAATTGTATTAGGGAAGTGAGCAGGGCTGGAGATGTAGCTCAGAGGGTAGAAAGCTTGCTTGACATGCACGAGGCTCTGGGTTTTAGCCAACAGCATGGATAGGGGAAGAGGTGAAAATTGTCAAGACTTGCTCACCAGTGCCCAGTGGACAAAAGGCCACTGGGAGTTGTATGGTGGAAAGCCACAAAAATGATCTTTTCTGGGCCATTTAACTTCACAGGGCTGCAGAACAGTTGGGGCCTTGGGGGCTCTTAATTATCTGCTGCATTAAATACTGGCCATAAAGCTCACATTTTGGACTCCTGTTTTAGAATCAAAAGTAGGAATTTTGTCTCATTCAAGGCCACTATGTACATGCCTTGCTCAGGTAGAAGGTAACAATGAGGGTGTGGCCCAGTAGTAAGTAGAGCACTTCACTAGCATGCAAGAGGCTCTGGGTTCAATCCCCAGAGCTGCCAATAAACAAACAAACAAACAAATAAATAAATAAGAGGCAAGAAGTTCAGAAAACAAAACCAATCCCTGCCCCCGTACCCCCGTTAAATTATAAACCAGGACCAAAAAAAAAAAAAAAAAAAAGTTAATTCAGGCCTGAAGCAGGGGTCATGATCTTGCAACACTTTCTACCGAGATATTTCATGTATAATGTGCATTTCCTGCTTTACTTCAAGACCAGAAACTCATGCAACCCTGGGCGTGTGGCTGCACTTTAACACTTCAAGTGGTTGGTGTATGGCCCTAAGAGACTTATTAATGTCTCTTTTCATCCACAGYCCCCATCACTTCCTATTCTTAACCTAACACTGAAGTCAAACGCCACCTTTCATCTTACACTGGTCACCTTTCACTGGCCCAGCCAGCTACCTTCTCACCAAGATTAGTGAGATATGTGGAAAAGTCTCTCCTTCCTAGATTATTTTCCCCAGCTATAAAATGGGGATATTACCTCTCTGGCAAGAGATGATATCCAAATGAACTGACAAAGTGTAAGCTTGCTTTGAAAACATGATGTTGCACCCCAAATCTCTCTGCTGGCTGTTATTTATAATAGTGGGGAAAAAAAAAACAAAAACAGAAATAACCTGAGTCCAACAGGAGGGTGGTCAATGCTATGAAATGCAACGTGGCCTCTCAAAAACAAAGTGGTAGACAGACACCTTCATATGCATTGGAAGGCTGCCCGTGACAGTACCTGAAAACAGTAAGCTCAGAACATTCTGTATTATGATCTCATTAAGAAAAATTATGTATGTACATATTTTTGTACATTTAAGAAAAAGTCCCGACAGCATAACCTCTGCCCTCACCCTGGCCCCTTTGTTTGAAGTTATCAGTGGGCTACAAGATGGAGAAGTGTGTTTGTGTGTGTTACTGGATACTGAATGCAGGGATGATTTATCATTGATACCTCCAGCCCTTTAAATTTTTTGAGACAGGGTCTTGTTAACTTACTTAGAGCCTTGCTAAGTTGCTAGGGCTGGCCTTAAACTTGCAACCCTCTTGCCTCGGCCTCCCAAGTCACTGGGATTGCAGGCATGTACCACTCACAGTTTATTGTTAGCACTCCTGGGGCTGAAGAGCCACAGTAGACTCCCT